GTTTAGGGTTTAGGGTTTGGGAGTATCAGGGTTCAGGATTATTGGAGTTATGACTGGGCCGGGTCACTGGAATGAGCAGGATTCCGGATTGTGGCAGTGGGCCCAGCCTGACGGATGGAAGGTAGCCTAAAGATTCAGCTGTGTCCGATATCAGTTTCCGTTGTATTTGCTCCTATTTCCCACGATTTTACAGTATAGGGCTCCTTTTTGACATGTAGTAGAAGCTCTCCCTCCTACAGATGTGTGGCATCAAACATTGGTAAAGAACCATCGCCGTATAACCTCTACATAATTCCCATAGTTCCCTATGTAACCCCTATATAATGCCTATATATAAAGATTCAGCTGTGTCCGATGTCAATTTCCGTTGTATTTGCTCCTATTTCCCACGATTTTGCAGTACAGGGCTCTTTTTGACATGCAGTAAAGCTCTCCCTCCTACAGATGTGTGGCATCAAACATTGGTCAAGAACCATCGCCGTATAACCTCTACATAATTCCCATAGTTCCCGATGTAACCCCTATATAATGCCTATATAACCTCTTTATAATGCCAATTGAGGCACAAAGAAGAAGTACATCTGTGGCTTCACTGTCCATGACGCAAAAGAGCTCAGTCAGGCCACGGGGCCTGGCTTTAGCAATAGGACGTGTTTGGAGGGGTATAAATACGGGATATAGGGGTTATATGGGTCAGATGTGAGTTCTATATAGGAACTAGGCTTTGGGGTTGAAGGATGTTACCCCAACACTGGAGAATCAAATGCAAAAGCAGTTGGAACATGAAGTGGAAGCAGGGGTTGTTTCGGGGGGTTCTCTTGGGTAATATCACCTGCTATTCGGGGGTCGAGTGACGGCGGTCTGGTGAAGATACTCGAATCCTAAGTTTCCAAGTGCCCATCAATCATGTACCCCCCCTCCCCAAACCTATACTGCAGGTGTTCTTATTCCCAAAGCCTTAAGTTATTGGCTAGTTAGACCCTTTTGGGGAAGACAGGCCATCGACCCACGTCCAGCCCCAAGGGCTGCAGCAGCTGATACCCTGACACCCCATACCTACATGAGCCATGGTCTAAACTCCTTAAAGCGGTTATATAGGGGATTATATAGGGGACTACGACAGGGTTTATTAATACTAGGAGTTTAGACTATAGCTCACATGCCCACCTGTACTCCTTGGGACCTAGCTTGGACCTTAGACCCTTAACCCTTTGGGATTCCCGAATATTCCTATTATAGGTACCTAAGGGTTAACCCTTTGTAGGGGTCCTACGTGCCACGCGGTGTATTCATGCAGGATGGAACAGCCGTCGATCCTTTGGTCGCTGCCTGTCACAATCATGCTGCGTGGTTTTCTGCTGCATGCGCAAAAGCAATTTTCTTAAGCTGACGTCTGCTAGACTGCAGTACCAATGTCTAAACAGTGCCCTACGAATCCGCAGACCCTCTCCCAAGAACCCGCCAGATTGCCCAGCTTTCCTACATGTTCAGTGCGTTTCTTCTCTAGGTTTTACCCTAAACCTTAAACCCTAAACCCCTAACCCACATCACAGCGATTATTCCCAGTTTGGATGGCTGTTTTGAGCGGCACAAAAGCCACTGAGGTGGTTCGATGCTTGGGAAAGGACAGGGGCTTATTCTGTTAGGGTTTAGGATTTAGGGTTCTGGGTTTAGGGTTTATATAGGGCTTAGGAATTATTGTAAACTTTTATCATAGTATAGCCCTAAGGAAATATCAAAATGTTGTTATTATAGGTCTAAGGTAACCACACAATAGTCTGCAGGCTAAGAGCACACATGGAATGTAGCTATAATCGGGTGTGTATATAGGGGTTCAAGTGGGGTTCCAGTGCGATAATGGAAAAGAAAATGGAAACTACTACAGTATAACGATATCCCCAATGCGCAGTAAGTAGTCTTTTCCAACCAGCAGAATGATTTGCTTCTGTCTTGCTCCATCTGCAGTACAAGTGTAATTGTTTTTACATTCTTTCTGCTGTCGCCACCGCTGCTGATAATTTACGCTACTGCTACCAGCTACCACCACCAGCCCAACGGCAGGAGTACAAGACCGCCATGAAGAGCGGCAAGATCCAGCACTGCAAGTTTGAAGAGCAGCAGTGACTGCAATACGGGGTTCACGACAGGGATCCCTTCTGCTCTGTGAGGTTCAGGGTTTAGGGCAACTGATGCAGGAGTCAGATTTTCTTCCTTAGGCTATGGGGACTCAGACTGAGTTGAGGTTTTGAAGTAAAAGATTTGAGGGCATGTGTCAAACAACCCGCCCATCAGGGTCCTCCAAGCGATGCTGAGTCGATCCATGAAATCACCCCATTCATTCTTTTGCTGAACAAGATTGCACGGTTCTATGAAGCGGGTACCTAAAATTGGGGCGTCCCCTAGACGAACCCGCACGACAGTAGAATCCTTAAAAAATAGGGACCCCCAAAAGGGAAACCTGATTTTTGGAAACGCCCCTTGAAGACTTACCGACCAACAGGAACGAACATAGCCTCTTCCTTTCTTTTGCCGTGCCATGACCCAGCAGACTGTCCCTAACATCATTACCACAGAAAAGCCTGGGTTCGACTGTCAAGGAAGAAAAGAATCCTATTCGGACTTCATTGCTCGTGGGGTATCTCAGATTCTACAGCCTCCTCAAATTCAACATGCGAAAGCGTGTAGTTTTTACCCAAAGGAGGGGGCTCAGCCAACCTTTTTCTTTTCAATATATCCTAGACAAACCCGCAACAATGGAGAGCCATATGGAGTTCAAAATGGCATGGAGTTATCTAGTGGCTTATAGGGATTAGATGAGCTACTGTCAACACCAGGCTTACCAAGGGACCAACCTTCTTCGGTAGCTCAGTTGAGTATAACTAGTATATTCCCCGATAAGGACCCATATCCACTAGTCCTCTGAAAAGTATTGACTGAAGCTCATATGTGGCATGGAATCAATGTTAGCAACAGAAACGGTGAACCCTAAATCCTAAGTCCTAAAACCTAAGCCCTAAGCCGTAAGCGCTATGAAGAAGCCAGGCTCTGTCATTGGTTATGTCCTCACATACCTCACCTTGAACCCTAAAACCCTAAAACAGTAGTCTCCTATTTACTTACAATTATATGCGGTATAGTCTAAATTCCTTAAAGGCGGGTCATATAGGGGATTATATATGGGAGCAGCAGAAGGGTTATTATGAGGGATACTAAGAGTTTAGAATATGAACCATGGTACCTCCCTACACCATATCTAATTCCTATACAGTCCCCATATAACCCTTAAGCGCCTTGGGATCCTATCCCATGGATTCGAGATCACTTCTTCAAGTGCAGCAGCTGCACAGGCACCATCATGATCTTGACGGACAATGGGTTTACGATTTGGGGTTTACGTTGGGGACCCCCATGTTCTCCTAACCCTAAACCCCAATAATCCCCATACATCCTTAGGGCTCCCAAGACTCTGAATGCACACCAGGTCCTACATTTGGAATGATTTCTACATTACAGAGACAGAGTTCAATATGACGTGCATTGAGTTTGAGTTGCAGGCGCCATCGGCTCGGGGTCTCTCCTTCTTTTTCACAGTTGCGTCAACATGAAGTCCTGCTCCTAATAATGACTCCCCCTAGCCCAGCATCGTAGTCGTGATATATTGGAGCTCTTCAGGGCAACTGTTGTCCAGAGAATGCCTGAGGGCTGTACTGTTCAAGGAGGAAATCTTGTAGCACTTGAAATACCTATAGTCCTCCTCAAGTAGATAGATTATGGAGTATATGGGGATCTCATTATAATATACCCCAAGCCATATTCTATCTACTTAAGGGGGGCCATACCCTAAACCCAGGATAGTCGTCTCCATTTTCTTTTTCATTATCCCAATATAAACCTATCTACTTAAGGCAGACTATAAGTTCCTGTAATGCCTGGTATGGCGGGGATACAGTGGTGTGGTGCAGGATTCCTCAGCCCCTGTCCGGCCTGCCAGCTTGGGTTTTTTTTAAGGTTTTGGCATTGTTTTAGCGTTTAGGGTTGTTGGGTTTTAGGGATTTGGGGTTTCGGGCTTGAGGGTTTTGGGGTTGAGGTTTGTGCCCTTAAGAATTTTGTGCCCTTGGGCTTTGGGTTCTAAATGCCCACTTAAGCCACATATCCCATGGTTGGCAAAGGGATCCAACCCAAGCGTACACCCCCTGAGGGTACGAAGCACAACTACACCCAGAACTCACTGAAGTTTGTTAGCTTGTGCCAGGCAGCCAACATCTTCACCAGGAACACCGTGCTAGGCACTGGGAAGGTGCCTATCTCAGTGAGAGGCGGTCTTTCCGCGTTTGTAATGCAAAGCCTGGATTCCTTGTACACTAATAGTATAGGGCAACTCGAAAAGACCTCAAAATGATATTGGTATTCATTCAGGCCCCTACAGTCCCGTGTATAATCCTAAATCCAGTTGCCAGCTTTTTACATTTGATGTTTCATTATCTGTATTTATTCAAGTGTTTACATTAAGAGCACGAGGTGCCAGGATGTGTGTCTGCCACCTGCCAGCGCCTCTTAAACCATGAATAAACCTCGAAGCTTTGACCCTAAGCGTCCCCCAAACTCACATGGAACCCCATATAGCACCGGACAGTAGTCTAAAATGGACCCTTTTCATTTTCGGGCTCCATCAGTTTCCATGTTACCTTTTGGGGGGGTGGGGGACGGGACCTTAACCTTCCACGCATCTCTTCTTCAGGTACAGCTGGCCATGGTCAGACAGCGGCCAAACCATACCTACGTGCGGAAGCAGAGACTCAGCTGCACACTCCCCGGGTAGATCCCCAAACTGGGAAACGTCTGAGAACTCATGGGTTCTCTTAGTTTAGGTTTTAGGGTTTACCGTTCCCCTGCCATCCCCTATGAAGCTGTCCTTAACGTTGGGCCCTCCAGCCCTACAGCTGCGCACCCCGTGGTTCTGGGGTCCCTTTGTAGGGATGTTGTAGGGGGCTTACGCGGGTGTACGGGGTTTGGGCTAGAGGCCTCACCACTAAGGAATGTTTGCCCTCATAGTCCTTAAATAAAATATACAAGGTGGGACTTTACTACAATTTCAAAGGAGCTAACAGGTATGTTTTAGTGGGGGATTAAAGAGCAAGCAGGTTCATCTACACCAGTGAAAGTGTACCCGGGCCCCAGTGTTGGCCTGTAGAAATGTACGGGCCTGGATAAGTCTGGGGTGATAATTACTGCAAATATTCAAGGTATATAAGGGGCACATATCGCTAAATCTTAGGCGCTTGAATTCCCTGAAATACCCTTCTCTGATTTAGTTTTCATCTGGCGATGCATGTAGAGTTCCCTTGTGATGTTTGTTTGATTCTGCATTTTCTGTTTCGCCCTCCACGATGCTGCCATGACGCCACAGGATGTGGTATTTGGACCAGGTCCCCCTCAGCACCTAACCCTACACCCTAAACCCTGAACCCTCCCTATCCAAAATCTTCAGACGCAGGAGGTATATCATATCATACCCTAAAACCTAGCTCGGATTCACTAGGCCCCTACCTTCAATCCCTATAATCCCCTCGCGGTTTAGGGTTTAGGGTTTTAGGGTTTGGGGCTTAAAGCTTAACCCAGTTTGCAAGTCATTGTCCATCATGTTGCCCATCTGATTCTCCATTACTTCGGTGATTGTGGCCTGTGCCTACAACCCCTTTTAGAGGGACCCTATCAAAGCCTTGAACCCGTGAACCCAAAACCTCAGCCCGAAGCCATAAATTAAACATAAAGCTTCAAACCCTGAACCCAAAAGCTAAACCCTCACAGGATCCAGTTGACTTTGGAGCATAAGCTGACATCCAAGCTGACCGTCACTGTGTTTTGCTACGGAGAGGTGGATGCGCATACCGGATTAGGGGGTCCTCATCGGAAACTCAGGGTTATGTAAAGAAGCTCTCTTGTGATGGTTGTTTGGGAGTCGTTTTCGGGTGCAAGTTTTCATTTCAGGCATAGGCATAGAGAGCTTCAGGTATTTTAGGGGCTGGAAAAACGGGACCCTCATTTCTCATGTTGGAACCGGCGCACATAACCTTTGAGTGTTGAAAAGATTCTAGACAGGCGCAGGCGGACCTTCCTCTTTATTGGGAATGCTCAGTTGCTAGAGCAAATCGTCTCCGAAAACCTTCTCTGAGTCCCCTATATCGTATCTAAGGCAAGATGAACATACGCCATACATTTCCCGATGGACTAAGGTGAGGCTTTGTACGGTAGTCCCTGCTTGCCCCTTGAGAGAGTAGGACGCTTGTTACAGGGACTACCAGGAGACCTGATCTTAAACCCTAAACCTGAAACCCTGAGCCCTAAACCCTAAACCCCATACTCGCATAATTTGGCACGTGCCCATTTCCAAGAATAGATGAAGCAACCCTGGTCAGGGCGACAAACCTCCAGCTCCTGATGATGCACAGGACAACAAGGCGCAAGGTTTAGGGCTTACCTAGACCCTCCAATGTAGTACCGTTTTGGTGGTCCTAATAACAATCCTAACCAAACAACCATGCCAAACCCAAAAAGGAATTACGTTGGTGGGCCAGGTAGGGTAATATCAAAATGGAGAATTGCAATAATCCAGACTCAGCGGACTAAAAGTTGTGGTTGAATCTAGGTAGATGGTGTTCCATGTAAGTGTACTTGTCTAGGCGAGGTGGTTTACATGTTTTAGTTGAGCTCCTGATCCTAAACCCTATAAAACGCAAACCATGCACCCTAAACCCTAAACCATAAACCCTAAACCCTCAGATCCCACACTGCGCGCACACTGCTGGTCATGCCAGGAAGAGGTGGAGGCACATCTTAACGATCTAACAACGGCTGTGATTGGTGATGCAGGACGTTGGGGAGCGGGGTCAGACATGCAGGGGCTATATTGGGCATATATAGGGGTAACAATATTGGTGATATATTGAGATAATGGAACAGAAAATGGAAACTACTATTCAGGGTTCAGGGTTGAGGGGTTTAGGGTGAAGGTTTGAGGATTTAGGGTATGGGGTTTGGGGGGGGGCGCCGGCTGGGTCAGTCGCATCTAAGCTGCCTTTTGAACTTTTAAGCTGAGCTGAAGCGGTTGTTGGTGCAGCCTTGTTTACGCCTTGGTTGGTTCGCGAATGCTTCAGCCAAGAACGTTGCATCGGCCAGGAAACAAGAACCAGTTCAGACTCTGAGCTGCAACTTCAAGCCGATGTTAGTGTAGGGGCTAGTATATAACCCCCAAACCCTGCTAAAAATCAATGGGCCCCTACTGCCCCTACATTCTTGACTCTGGCATCTGCAGCCGAGCATGTGTTGCTCTGAGCGCAGCTAGGAAATCAACATCTACAGCACGTGCTACAGATTCTTAAGGCCACCACAACATTTGAGGCTGGGAGATTTGCAGCTCCGTTGGGTGTTGGCACATAGCATTATGCGTTTACATGCGGCCAAACGATCTAAGACCAATTCTACCATCTTTTCGTGCAAGTGCACCGAGCAGAACATCTGGGCGGCGGAGAGAAGACGCTGCTTGGTTGAAGACATGATGAGGCGGCACGGGACATGGATTCAGAGGATCGGCTCCCACATGGTTTGAACCTGGACTCTTGACAACTGATCTGAAAACCGCTCACTGAGCCTGCAAGGTACAATCCCTACGTCTCAGAGCCTCGGCGGCAAGTAGAGGACAGCAGAAGCGCATGGGCTGCCAGCGTGCGAGCGAGAGTTTCTTAAAACGATTTCTGCAGAGCCATTACTAAGGGATGTTCCCCGTATATCGAACCCTAAACCCTAAACCCTGTATAGCCCATTGTAAGAGTTTCCATGTTCTTTGCCATTATCCCCATTTCACCCCAACATATTATGTCAACCTCCAATCAGCGGCTTTCAGGTGGAGTTCAATGGCCACGAACTGCGGAGCCCAGCGGCCAGGGACACGCACACTTTGGTGCCTTGGCCCTCAGCCCCAAGCCCTATAGGTTTGGGTTTTAGGGTCGAGGGCACAAGCCCGAAACCCTACAGGTTTAGGGTTCAGGGTATAAACCCTAAACCCTACTAGTAGATGCTGTTTAGGGCTTAGGGTGCAGGTACTCCCAAAGATGGAAAAATCTATGAACGCGTCTGTCCACATGTATTCCCCTATGGAGGGGTCCTTGTTTGATCCATGTATACAAGGTCTGCCCTATCCTGTTTACTTTGGCATGCATTTGGGCATCTTAGTGATGGCTTTCCGGGAATGGAGAGGATATTGAATTTACTATAGTATTTAGGGTTACGCTTCCGTTTTTCGTAGGGAGCGTCGGAATGAATTATAGGGCCCACGGGACTACAGTAGTACAGGGCTGTTATGGGGGCTCCAAAACGAACCCACTCCTCCGTTCCTTACTTTCCACCAGTAGCTCTTCACCACAATTACTGTGGTCCCTCAAAAACGCAACCTGCCTGCGGCCCAGCCGCAGTCCAGGCATTCGATGAACAGTTCCGGATCCCTGTCACCACGCCTCTGTTTCAAGACTCCATCGCGACTCGGATTGGCCAGGGTTCAGGGTTTAGGGGTGCCCTCAGATCGCTGAGCCCATCTGCCAGCTCTTGCTTATAAGCTGAAAATCAAGAATGTTATAGACGAGGCGTGTGCTGAAGAAGCTTTCCATGATAGATGGATGGAACAACTCCAAGGTGATCAGAATCTGGGACTCGGGCAAGTGGATGGGTGACGAGATCATCGTGCAGGGTCGACTGTCCTTCTCTTTGTTGCGCGCAGGCCTCAGAAGCATGCAGGTTACCTACATGCCTGATTCTCTGCAATACCGTGAGAGGCTTGAATACTGGCCCAAGGTATAATTCCATTATAACCATAATCTGATATGTCCCCAAACCTTCCTCCAATCGTCAGGATTGTAGTGATCCAGACCAGTCCAGCTAGCTTTGACACGGCCTGCTGCCAGCCAAGGCATGCATGCACTTGCCCCGAAATGGTTTAACTTCTACGGCTTCAAGAGCGACGAGGCCCCTGGGCGGCCTAGTGCAGATAGTGCGCTGGCAGCGGAAGTTCACAATTTTTTGAAAGTCCGGCCTTGAGACGGGCACAACAGTGCCGCAACAATTTCAAGAACATCGGAATCAGCTTCTCCACAAGCATTAAGAACCTGGGTCAGTCGTTTTCATTCCATCTGCTCTGATACGAATCGCCCCAAAGTCCAACTCCCTAAACCCTATAGTCCCCCTTAAGTAGATAGAATATGGTTTTGGGTATATTATAATAAGACCCCCATATACCCCATATTCTATCTACTTAAGGGGGACTATGAACCCTAGCTGGTTTGCATCGTCATAGCTGTATGATTTCCTTCTTCGCAGCAGAAGGTTCCAGATGTGCAAGCCATCACCAGCTCCGGAGATTTGGCTGAGGAGAATGCCTACTTAGGCCGCCCCTTGCCTTTCATTACTACCCTCAACCCTAAACCCTTACCTGACAACGCTGGTAGTTGTGGTAGTGGTACGGCTATTCAAGCAGTTACTGAAAGGATAGGAGTAGAAGTAGGAGTCTAGGCCCCTGACCTATCCCCATAAAACCCCTTCCCAACCCCAGGCTCCATTTCGTTCACCATGTTCTTGACCATTTGAGTCCCTACACCCTAACCCTGAATAGCACTTTCCATTTTCTGTTCCATCTTTGGTATATCATTCCAATAGACATATAAATATAAAGGTGAGGAGAGGGGAGCAGCCAAGAGAACCAAAGTACCAAACCCAAATTGCAGACCTTGCTTTAGAAAGGAACACGTAAGCAAAAGACGCACCACATGATTTAGCAACTCTCATGTTGGCTGCGCTTCGAATGCACATAGGATGCTTCTGACAAATTTTGTCCCTCGATCTATTCTGAGACCAATCTGTTCCTACTACGCTGGGTAGGCCCTTGGGATATTTAATTTTCCCTAATGGCTTTAATAAGGGACCCTATATACCAATATTTTTCACAAGGTTTTAGGGGCCAACCCAGTACAAGGCCTTTGACTTTGATTCTAATAAGCCTTAAGTGGGGATCCGTAGTTGTGTAAGAGAATGAAGTCAGCCCGTTTTGGCAGGAAGCAGCTGAAAAGCATTTGGGGGTTTCCACATAATGTGGGTTATGATTTGGGGATGATTTAATTTGGGGGGCCACAATCACTCAGGTCATAGTATTTGGAGGTCCATATTGGGGTTTTGCTGTCTGTGGAAACTGCGATTTACTGCAGGAATACTGGGGACCCCTCTACGGCCCGAGATTCCAGTTTTCATCGGATCCGTTTCTAACCCTAAACCTTAATACAGGAACGACATAATCTCCTGGGCAAATTAGAATGACCTCACCCAATCTCAGCCCAAATGGTGGCTTGCCTTGAAACCTTTCTTGGTCTCGGCTTCTCCAAATTGGTTTAACGTCAGGTTCTGCGCATTGGCTTCATTTCAGGTTCTGAACTTGTTTCTACAAAAGCAAGATCTCAATAGACCTTGCCAACAAAAAACTCTGCTCTCAACCCTGGACCCTAAACTAAACCCTAAACCGAGGCCTTCTCATCAGCGCCAGGGTGAACAAGGCGTGGGCTTGATAAGTTTTTGTTTTTCTTACCTTCGGTTAGCTGGGAATGAATGAATCAAAAAGAACATGGAAATTACGATATAATGGGTTATATAGGGACTGCTATAAGGTTCCATTCCTTCATTCCTAGCCAACTGAAGGTAGGTTTTTGACCTCCCATGACTTCAAGGTTTTTGTACGGAGAGGGTTCCTTTATGCACAGGTTGCCCTTTGAAGGGACCAGGCCTGTAAATCCTATCTTGTATGATGTGTTGGCGGGTTGCGAGCCAACCAGTACGTCAGCAAAGGTCACAAGCCTTTTCAGTTTAAAGGAGGTAGCCGTCGCAAGTATATGGTTTTTGCGTGCACCGCTACAGTAGCTCCTATGCAGAAGTACAATGAACGTCAACCACAAAATGGCCATTGAATATTTGCTGTTCATGTGGATGTTGACTTTTTTTGTTTGCTAGCGCTGTCCCTGCTGACCTTGAACCAGAAACCCGACGCCCTGAACTCTAGCCTCGCTACACCCTAATCTCTAAGGTTAGAAGTGGGGATTAAGGGACCCTAGAGGGTACATATAGGGTATATAGTAGGTGTTTGAGAGTAAAGGGCCATGAGTTTCAGTCTTCGACTCATCGTGAACCTTAGATCCCAAGACCTACACCCAGAACTCCAGATCTAACCTTGCTGGACCAAAGCTAGGTAAGGAAACGCCGAAGTTAGAACCATGCAACATTGTGTAGTCTTCTCTGGATATATAGCTCTAGGGCACGGTATTATACCTAGCACCCTACCCTCAACCCCTGCAGAATGCAAGTTTCCATTCCATTTTCCATTGTTTCCCTTCAGGCCTCAGCCCCAATCCCTAAACCACTGAACCCTAAACACGGTTTAGGGTTTAGGGTTTAGGGTTAAACCCTACAACCCTACAACCTAAACCCTACACCCCTAAACCCCCAACCCTCAACGGCCAAAGGTGGGGTCCATGTCGGCACTGCAGCTGCCGGCAGTTCTCAGGCCTCTTGATTGCCTAAGTAGGGTTTAGGGTTTAGGGTTTAGAGTTCCCTATAAACTATTTAAAACCTAAATTGTTCCTTAGAACCTAAACAATGAGGCTAAATTTGATTGGTTAGGATTAGGTTTGTTTGCGGTGAGAGATTCGGATTTAGGTGAAACCTTTGAGGTGAACCCTTTCTACTGTCAGTGGTAATGCTGCTCAAGCAGACTTTAGGAGGAGGGTGTAGGGTGTAGGGTTTACTTGGAGGGTCAGGCGGACTTAGTAAGGGGGACTTAGTAAGTAGGCTAATCACCTTGATAGCCCATATAAGAACACTACTTATCCACATCCTTAACCTAATTCAAAAGTTCCCCCCGACCCTCCACGTAGGCTGCAAAGGTCCAGTTGATGTCTCTTAGCTGTACAAGACGTATTGCCGGAAGCTTACAGGGACTGCCCAAACTTAAAAGTCTCTTTGGCAAACCCTACCCCCCCCCCCCAACCCTCAACTTCAAGTCCACCAATTTTGCAAACCCTACTAACATCCTGAACCTCCACATGGTTTAGAGTAACAAGGGTTTAGGGTTCACTGTGATAGCCCTAAACTCCTAAACCCTAGGGGTGGGCCATGCGAAGAGCCGCCCTCCAAAGTGGAGAACTTCCTGATGGACGTCTTTGAAGTCTCGGGATGCGGTGGAACTGAGGCGGGACAATGGAAAAAAGAATGGAAACCACTACAGTAGATTGGGGGTACTATTGGGACAAAGGAAAAGAAAATGGAAGCTACTATAGTATATGGGGGTAATATTGGGATGATGGAAAGGAGAACGGGAACCCTAAACCCTAAACCTAGTATTTAGGGTTTAGGGTTCTAGGG